ACACACTTATCGCCATAGAATACAAACATTTATTCGGAAATGCACGAAAACTAATTGTGCGAATGGTGTTTCGAGATTAGGCAACGTTCTCATTAATAAATGAGTTTAGCATAATGTCAAAAAATGTGCCTTTCTTTTATTGCTAGTTTAAGATTGCATAATAAATTAAATTACTCTACAGCTAATATTAAATTGTCGTATATGTATTTTTATAAACTTTTTGCTTTTCCTTTTTCTGTTTTTTTTTTTTTTTTTTTTTGTTATACATACACGTACATGCATATTTCCTACATATTTTCTACGTTTTAAGATTTAGAATGCACTTTGCAGCTATTTTTAACGATAACTATTAAGAAAAGTTCACTACCGGAAAATACTTTCCGAGCCTACGAATTTTCTTCATAGTAACAAAGCATTTAGAGCCGGTAACATGTATTGCTTTGGTAAGGCTTTTATCTTCCAAAATCAAATCGATTTCCTCGATTGAGTTTAGATTATAAATATCTTTTGGTGTTTCGTTGGATTTCTTTTTGTTGGTGTTGGTGTTGCTGTTATTGTTATTGTTGCTACTACTGTTGTTTCTGTTGTTGTTGTTGTTGTTGTTGTTATGATTAAAGATATTATAGTTCTTACTATAATTGTTGTCATTAAAATATTGCTTTTGCTGTAGTGTTGCTTTGGCTGCATTCAATGTATTCATAATTTGGTCCGTGGTATCTTTGTCCGGCCTGCTTTCAGATTCCTCGTCATATTCTTCTTTAGTTTCGGCAACTGAGAATGTGTTTAAATTGAATAATGAATTTCTTTGCTCGATATGTTGTTGGCCTGTCACAGCTGTTGCACCACTGGCGGCTGCTGCTTCATATATATTGCTGCGGTGACGCAGTTCGTACTCCTGAGCCTCGGTAATGCGATCCAGAGATTGGCTTTCGCGAATGCGCCGTCTTCGCGTTGTTGTGGTACAATCTAAGCCCGCCAATTGCTGTTTTTCCGCTTGGGAATGTTTATCAACATGTTCCTTATGCTGTTTCCTATTCTTTTGTGTGTGAGATTTGCGTGTTTCCTCCGACTTATTTGGCTTGAAAAGTAATAAGAGAGAGAAATTTATTTAAATATTAGCTTATTGCTGCTGTTCGTGCACGATTTACCTCTTTATACTGTCCCTGCTCCTCCTTCTTGCCACTCACGCCAGAATTGCTATTTGAAATGAAATTGGCACCACTGCTATTGGAGCCGGGTGGCGGATATAATTGATCCTGCGAGTCGCTGGAGTCATCATGTGAGTCTCGCCGATGCATACGAAATCTGATGGGAGTATCGCCAACAAATTTGTTAATCTTCTTCTTGTTACGTGTCTTTGTATCATCGTCCGATGCCTCGGAGCTGCTGCACGATGGCGTACGTATCTTGTTCAACTTTGTACGGCGATGCGTCAGCACAGGATTCTTGCTACTGCTGGGCAATGGCTTTAGCTTTCCAATCTCTAATTCTTTTAGGCCACTTAATGTATCCTCATCCACCTTGGCACATTTTTCCATTTGCTTTAGCTTTTGAGCAAGCGTCGTATCAACGGACACAACAATCTTTGTGCGTGTATTTGTTGGCACATCGGCTGCTGGTACAGGTGCTGACGAGCTGCTGCGCTCCTGAATCGAGCGATTAAGGCGTCCATCAGAAATGGACTCGCGTCGCGTTGAAGCCACTTTTAGCTCATTTCCAATGCCACAGCCCTCATTGGCGGACTCCTCTTCGTCCTCCTCCCGCACAATACTGCATTTGCGAGTTCGCTTATCCTAAGAACATTTAATTAATAAGAGTTATCAATTTGTTGCTCGTATGCTGAAAACTTACGGGCTTGGCATTATCATTGCCAAATTGTGCTGCCGGCGTCACATTAATGCTAATAGGCACAACTGCTTTGGGACTTTCCGTTGGACTCGGCTTATCTGCGACGGGCCTGCGATTAGCGTCACCCAGTCTAAATGATAAGCAATATGTATATATAAATATATGTTTACGTATATCCACTCACTTTAGGCCAGCCTCTTGAATCTTTTGTTTCTGTGCCTCCTCTCGCCGCCGGCGCAAACGAAGTTCAGCTAACAAGAAATATGTGGCCGTAATATGATTGTACTTATTTTTATCCAGAGCTCTGCATTAAAATATTGCATTAGTAAAAATATTAATAGAAGCTTGAACGTATACTGACTGCAGTATCTCTTCCTTGGACGCAATGTTTCCGTTTATCATTTTCTGTATAATAAAGGCATGATCCTCTTCGCTTAGCTGCTCTCGGCTGACCAGTGGCAGTGAATGCTCCACAGAGTCGGGCTCATCGGTTTGCTTAAGCCAAGCTGATGATGCGATTTCCTCAACAGTGGCGCGTTTCTTTGGATCTCGCACCAGCATTGTTGCAATTAAGCTGCGACATTCTTGTGTCACGTGCGAAGGCACCGTGTACTTGCAATCCATAATCATGGTCAGCGTCTCGGAATCATTGGCCTTCTCAAAAGGCGCCTGGCCACAAACCAGCATATACAGTATAACGCCCAGTGACCAAATATCTAACAGATAATGTCAATAATTAAAAAAAAAAAGCTTATCATGTGATAAACGAACGCGCACATACAGATACACTTACCTACGGCGGGCGCATCGTATGAATCGCCCAATAGAATTTCTGGGGCCGAATATGCGAGACTGCCACAAAATGTCTCCAGCTTTTGGCCCGGCGAGAATTTGTTGCTAAACCCAAAATCCGTGAGCTTGACAAGGCCCAACTTTTCGAAAAATACGACATTCTCCGGCTTCAGGTCTCTAAACGAGTCACGGCAAATGGTTACGTAAAATGTATGCGTATGTTTCTATAAATTATCTATGCCTACCTGTGCACTACGTGCAGCTGATGACAGTACGTGATCGCGCGAAGTATCTGCCGGAAATACTTGCGCGCCAGCTCCTCGCTCAGTCCGGCATCATGTTTCATTATATAATCATAAAGATCGCCACCATCGCCCAGTTCCAGCACCAGATATAGCTTGGTCTGTGTGTCAATGACCTCATAGAGCCGCACCACATTTGGATGCTGGACTAGCTTCATGCAGCTGAGCGGAGATGAGTTAGATGAGCTTGGTCAGATTCTGTGTGCTATAATATTCAAATGCAATTCGTGGCTCACCGAACTTCCTGAAACAAATGCGCTTTGGACACCTCGTCTAGCTTTGTCTTATCGACGACTTTCACTGCCACTTTGGCACCCGTGAACACATGTCGGGCCAGCTTCACAACGGCAAAGTGGCCCGAGCCGAGCGTCTCCTCTAGATCATATAGTCCAGCAATCTTGCCATCGCACAACCCCCCGCCAACCGGTTGTGTTTCCAAGGTCATGATCCTGCTTATCTCTGCCACTGACTGGCCCTGGGTGTTGACTTTGCAATTCTCTGAGTTTAACTGAAAAACCACTAGAAATGCATTTTTTATGAGTGGCCCGTTTTAGTACAGTACTTCACAACGACAGGCGGTGCACACAGCTTGAAATTGAAATATTATGTTCTAAATATTTTATGATGGCACTCATTCTGTATAATTCATTTGGTTTTATAACACTTAATCTCATTAGAGCTCATTCTCTGCACAGTCTATTTATTAATATGATTTCCAATCAGTCTAAAAGTTTTCACTTTTGTGTCCTGTGTCCAAGGCAGGAATAGCAGTGCAGTTAGGGAACAGGGTCGTTAAACAAGGGGGAAGCAATGGGGCAGGGCTGTTGTTACCGTTTTCCAGCAGCCGATGCACGCAAAACTATAATGTAGGCTCCATGTTGCGGTCTGTTATTGCGAACTTTGCTTTTAAGTTGCGTTTCAAAGTGTCCTTTAATACACTTTGCTGTTTATCACACAAGAAAAGTACTTATTTTAAACCTTTTGTGTATACTAGAGCTGTATCGAATCGTTCGGAATAAGTTCGATCGAACGACTCATCTAACTGGATAGTCGTTCATTTAGTTCTAGTTCGCATTTATTTTTTGCTGCCCTGAGCTAACAGCTAACTTAACATTTGCTAAACTGTTGTTAACGGCGAGCGCGCTTTCTTAATAAGGGCACTCCAATTCTGTTTAGCATACATTAATAAGTTGTGGTAAATAACTGAATAATTTAATTGAACAATTTAATCGTTAGTAACGATTTTAATATATTTAAAAAATAACCTTGCCTATCACCGTTGCCAATCTTGAACAAAATTTACCTAAACGTATTAGACTTGCACCACAACATCTTATCTAAGAATAGGATACATATTTATTGAAGATACACATTTTATGAAACTATACACATTAATTCTAAGCTGATTTATCGGATAGTTTTTGAAAAAACGAATTAATTATTAGCCAACATAAAGTAGCTTATTCAAAAGAACTGCTAGTTCGCGCTGAGCTGAGTCACTGATTGAACTCAGTGTTTAACAATTTTATGATGCATTGGGCGGGATCAATTCAAATTATATTATATAGTCAAATTATTATTATATTATACTGATAATTAAATTGCAGGGTAGGTGCGTTCATTCGTTAATATTTATTTAACGAATTTTTTACATTCAAATTCTGTTATAAATAGACAAACGATTTTGAAGATTTAATTATATTATTATACGGATAACATTTCAAAGTATCCAGATATCTTGACCATACCTAACATTTATTAAATTCGCTATGCTCCAAATAATTGAGCCAAATCTTATCAAGATCATACTACTTTATCATAAAGCTCCCAGCAATTATGAGCTTTACTATTCTTCACACATATTTGCAAACTCGTATACGCCTGCAAGTGTATTTAATCTTCGGCTCTTCGGTTATTTCATTTGATTTCTCTAATTTTCATATTACAATTTTCTTAAGTACCTTGTAAAATTCTGTTATCTGCTGGAATCACGTTCTATTGATGAAGCTTTGGCCATTAACAAGAAAATTGAATATGTAATCGGCTTTGATAGCTGGCGATAGAGATAAGGATAAACAGAGAGAGAGAGAGCGAGAGAGAGAGAGAGAAAGAGACAGAGGGAGAGAGTGAGAATCGAATCGCTCTCTTTAATGTTGATTGAAAAATGAATGATGACATCTAAAAGTAAATCGTTAAATTCCGTTTATTGTTAAGCGGTTTATTGGCATTAAATTGCGCCCAAATAAATATAAATACAAATTTGAAATAAAAAATTACAAATTTGGACTTCAACTAGATTATAAACAATTAACGCTTTTTCTATTTAAACGTGACTTGATTTCTGTTTGGTTTTAGTTTAGTCCGTGGTCATGCTCTTTGCGCCTACTCTTAACATGTTAATGGCACAATAAATTGATAAACATGAGCCGATATCGACAAATATGAGTTAGGGCCCAACAATACACATATATAAGCTCAATTGTTTTGGCCAATTTCGCAAGTCTCCTACTAACCGTCGTGTTATGCAGTTCGGCCTTTAAACTAAGTGCCCAATATTAAAAGTTAATATCATATATAATGACCGCATCATACGGAAATGCCGTCAAGGACGACGATAGTCGAATGTCGCAGTACAGAACGAATATTGTCTTGAGTGAATCCTTTACTGCCAAGGAGAAAGAACGCAAAAGCTTGTGAGTTAAATAATTATCCTGGATTTTTTGAAGTTTTGTGCATTTGTGCCAACTTTATAAAATCATAAATTTGCTCCGACAAGCCCGACAATTGCATAAGATTTTCACTTAAAGCAATATATATAATACAAGAATTGAAATTTGTGTATGTAATTATGTATGTATGTATGTATGTATGTGTGTATGTATGTATGTATGTGTGTACGTGTGTGTATGTGCGTATATATGTATGTAAGATATGTATGCATGTAAGTTGTCCCCTAAAATACCAATAGCAGACGAATTTGTCTTGTTGCGCGGCAAATTAAAAAAAAAAAAAAACGTATTTGTTGAAGCTGCCCTCCTCCTCGATTCTCAAAAGTTTAAGTAAGGCTTGCAGGCTTCACCCAGAAGTTAAGCGCAGGCGGCTTCAACACTGGAAGCTGAGGAGCCGGAGGAGCAGGAGGAGCACCAAGGGGGCGGAGTAGGTATGTAGGTGTGTGTATGTAGCTATGTAGATATGTAGGTAGTAATGTATGTATGTATGTATGTATGTATGTATGTATGTATGTATATATGTATGTATGTATGTATGTTTGTATGTATGTATGTATGTATGTATGTATGTATGTATGTATGTATGTATGTATGTATGTATGTATGCAGGCATGCATGTGTATGTATGTATGCATGCATGTGAATGTATGCATGCATATATGCATGCGTATGCATTCATGCATGTATGCATGCGTATGCATTCATGCATGTATGCATGCGTATGCATTCCTGCATGTATGCATGCGTATGCATTCATGCATGTATGCATGCGTATGCATTCTTACATGTATGCATACGCATGCGTATTTATATATTTATGTATGCATGCATACATGTATGAATGTATGAATACATGTGTGTATGGATGCATGCATGTGTATATGTATTAATGTGTGCATATATACATATATATATGTGTGTGTGTGGGTGTATGTATGCATATTCACATGACCAAGCAAATTGTTGCTAAATTGGCGTTAGGGTCAGCGATAAGAAATGTATTAGATTAAATTAAGATCCAATCGCGTGCGAGGGGGTGTGGCTTATTGCCAACTTATGGACTCAATAGGTTTGATTTAATCTCAAAAATGGCGTGTACCTGGCATATAATTATTATAGCGAACCGAATAAGAAAAAAAAGAATTCCAAGCATAAAGAACCGGCGGACAACGATGAGGACGAGAAACCGAAAGAAGACATCAAGCCAGTTGGTTTCTTCACGATGTTCCGCTATGCATCAAAAAAGGATCGAATCCTCTACTGCATCGGACTGCTCTGCTCGCTTGCAATGGGTCTGACAACGCCAGCAAACAGTTTGATCTTTGGAAATCTTGCTAACGTAAGTAAATCAATATGCAATCTTGACCTATTTGGGAAGATCTCCTCAGAAGATTAGTCCTAGTGATCTGACTTGTTGATTAGAAATTCCCCTAAACCTAGCTCGATAGGTTGATAAAATATGAAGAGAAAGTTCTCTTAAGAGCCTTAAATCGCACCTTATTTCGCTTGGAATATTAATGCTCTCTTATTTCCCAAATTTTAGGACATGATTAACTCAAGTGGACGTGGACAGGAAACTACTTATACAAGGGAATCCTCCAATTCCGAGGCCCTGTTGGACGCGGTGCAAAAGTTTTCACTGAACGTGACCTACATTGGGCTTGTAATGCTCTTCTGCAGTTACATGGCCATCACATGCTTTAATTATGCTGCCCACTCACAAATAATGAGCATACGTTCCAAGTTTTTCCAATCTGTGCTGCATCAGGACATGGGCTGGTACGATATCAATCCGAGCGGCGAGGTAGCCAGCCGAATGAACGAGTAAGTACGAGTCTTCCAATATTTGCCAGTGATTTAAATAGTGCTTCTTAAACTCCACAGAGATCTAGCGAAGATGGAGAATGGTCTAGGCGAAAAAGTTGTGATTTTTGTGAATTTAATGGTTGCGTTCGTTGGATCCATTATACTTGCCTTTGTCAAGGGCTGGCAGCTCTCCTTGGTCTGCCTGTCTAGTCTGCCGGTGACCCTAATAGCCATGAGCTTTGTCGCCATAGCCACATCCAAGTTGGCTAAGCAGGAGGTCAATATGTATGCTGGCGCCGCAATCGTTGCCGAAGAAGCTTTGTCCGGAGTACGCACAGTCAAGGCGTTTGAGGGCGAACATAAGGAGGTCGCCGCCTATAAGGAGAAAGTCGTCGCTGCCAAGGATCTGAACATTAAGCGTAATATGTTTTCCGGCATTGGTTTCGGCCTCCTGTGGTTCCTAATCTACGGCTCGTATGGCCTGGCCTTCTGGTATGGTGTTGGATTGGTTATCAACGGTCGCCACGATCCATACTATGAGAACTATACGGCCGGCACGATGATAACAGTGTTCTTCTCGGTTATGATGGGCTCCATGAACTTAGGCTCGGCATCTCCGTATATTGAGGCATTTGGCATAGCAAGGGGTGCCTGTGCCAAGGTATTCCACATCATTGAGCAGATCCCAACTATCAATCCAATCCAGCCGCGTGGCAAGAGCCTTAATGAGCCGCTGACAACCATCGAATTCCGCAACGTTGAGTTCCAGTATCCCACACGCAAAGAGATCCCCATTCTGCAAAAGCTTAATCTGCAGATCCATCGCGGCCAGACGGTGGCTCTGGTGGGCCCCTCTGGATGTGGCAAGTCAACCTGCATACAACTGTTGCAGCGCTTTTATGATCCGCAGGCCGGAAACATTTTCTTTAACGGCACCAACATCAAGGATATCAACATTAAATGGCTGCGCGAGCGCATCGGAGTGGTCGGCCAGGAGCCCGTGCTCTTTGGCCAATCCATATACGAGAACATACGATATGGCCGAGAGGATGCCACTAGGGCGGACATTGAGGCGGCAGCCGCAGCAGCAAATGCTGCCATATTTATTAAAAAACTTCCGAAGGGCTACGAGACACTGGTGGGTGAACGTGGAGCTCAATTGTCCGGGGGGCAGAAACAACGTATTGCCATTGCTCGCGCTCTGATTCGTGATCCGGAAATACTACTGTTGGATGAGGCAACCTCCGCCCTCGATACGGCCAGCGAGGCCAAGGTGCAGGCAGCCCTGGAGAAGGTTAGTCAGGGTCGTACCACCGTCATTGTGGCCCATCGTCTGTCCACAGTACGTCGTGCCGACAGGATCGTGGTTCTGAACAATGGCCAGGTCGTCGAGACCGGCACTCACCAGGAACTGATGATGATAAAGGGCCATTACTTCAATTTGGTAACCACGCAGATGGGGGATGACGATGGCAGCGCTCTCAGTCCCAGCGGAAACATCTATAAGAACCTCGATATAAAGGATGAGGACGAACAGGAAATTAAAATTATACACGACGCTGTCGACGAGGAAGAAGATCCGAAACTTCAAAAGAATAAGAAAAAAGCAAAGAAGGACAAAAATAAGAGTTCTATCTTGTGGGGCATCATGAAGCTGAACAAACCGGAATGGATGCAAATCACAGTGGGTTGTATATGTTCGATCATAATGGGCTTCGCGATGCCCGTTTTCGCCATGCTCTTTGGCAGCATTCTGCAGGTCATGGAATCCGAGAACGATGATTACGTCAGGGAGAACACGTCCCAGTATAGTTTGTACTTCCTGATCGCTGGCATTGTTGTTGGCTTGGCCACATTTATGCAGATATTCTTCTTCGGCATTGCGGGCGAACGCCTCACGGAGCGCCTAAGAGGTCTTCTCTTCAGTAGCATGCTGAAGCAGGAGGTAGCCTGGTTTGATGATCGTGCCAACGGCACTGGAAGTCTTTGCGCTCGGCTTTCCGGTGATGCAGCCGCTGTACAGGGCGTAAGTATATCGAAAATATTTAAGCAATATTACATTTGTAGACTGCATTTGGCTCTTTAACGGTTTTTGTAATTTCACAATGTCCCTGCTATTCCGATATCTCGAGAGATCGCACTTATAGCCCATGCCTCGTCTGTCTTGCCTATCGATAGTCTTTTTTAATATCGATTATTAACATGGGTATTCTTACTAGGAACATTGGCCCTATCACAAAATGCTATATATTTTGTATTTATCTTTGCAGGCGACAGGTCAGCGCATTGGCAGCATTATCCAATCGGTCGCGACCTTGCTGCTGAGCATCGCGCTGTCCATGTACTATGAGTGGAGCTTGGGCCTGGTGGCTTTGGCGTTTACGCCCTTTATATTGATCTCCTTCTATATGCAGAGCATTATCATGGAACAGGAGAACATGGGCAATGCCAAAATAATGGAGAACACAACCAAATTGGCCGTTGAGGTGGTATCAAATATTCGCACGGTGGTTTCCCTAGGACGCGAGGAAATGTTTCATCGCAGCTACATCGAAACGCTGTCGCCAGCCGTTAAGGTGAGCAGACTCTCGTGCTTCCGACAAACATATATTAATCCCATTTAATTATGTAGACGTCCCAGAAGAATACGCACTATCGAGGTGTTATGTACGGCCTGGCAAACTCAATGATGTTCTTTGCCTATGCGGCATGCATGTCCTACGGCGGTTGGTGTGTGGTCAATCGGGGTCTCAAGTTCGGGGATGTGTTCAAGTGAGCCGCAGCGAATTCAACAAACCTTGTAAAAATAACCTATAAGTATGTTACATTTCCCATTGCAGAGTATCGGAGGCATTGATCATAGGCACGGCATCCATCGGCAGCGCCTTGGCCTTTGCTCCCAACATGCAAAAGGGGATAAGTGTTGCGGTGACCATACTGAGATTCCTGGAGCGTAAGCCACTAATTGCTGACAGTCCTGGCGTCTCCTTGAAGCCCTGGCACTGTAACGGCAATGTGATGTTCGATAAGGTGCAATTTAGCTATCCGACCCGTCAGGAAGTCCAGGTGCTCCGGAACCTAGTTCTGGCGGTGCAAACTGGCAAGAAAGTGGCACTGGTGGGTCCGTCAGGCTGCGGCAAATCCACTTGTATTCAGCTGCTGCAGCGATTCTATGACGTGGACGCTGGCGCTGTGCAGATCGATGGCCACGATATCCGACAATTGGCCATTTCAAATCTGCGCATGCAGCTGGGCATTGTCTCGCAGGAACCGATACTATTCGATCGTACCATACGTGAAAATATTGCCTATGGTGACAATTCCCGAATTGTCACCGACCAGGAGATTATAGCGGCGGCCAAGAAGTCCAATATACATCAGTTCATTGCTAATTTGCCACTGGTGAGTCTCTATCCAATATGCTTCGCTGAGGTATATGATAATAGCGTCCCTTCTTTTTTGCCAGGGCTATGAAACACGAATGGGTGAGAAGGGCGCGCAGCTATCCGGAGGGCAGAAACAACGTATTGCCATTGCACGCGCCCTAATTAGAAATCCAAAAATACTTCTGCTCGATGAGGCTACCTCCGCATTGGACGCGGAAAGTGAGAAGGTATGTTGGCAACTGTTTTTGCTATATGCAAAATATTGAATGCTTATTCGTGCTTATTACCCAACCAGATCGTTCAAGAGGCATTGGATGTGGCTGCCGAGGGACGCACCACAATTAGCATAGCCCATAGATTGTCTACCATTGCCGACTCGGATATTATCTACGTATTTGAGAACGGAGTCGTCTGTGAAAGCGGCAACCACAAAGAGCTTCTCCAGAACCGTGGACTCTACTACACACTGCACAAATTGCAAACTGGCACCACGTAGTTGGCTTTCGATCAATTGCAGCCTTGCAATCAAAGCGCAACTAGCATTGTAATATAAATATATTCACACATTTCCATATTAACATATTAGTAGTTAAGATGCAGACTTGCAGAATTTAATGAAAATTTGAATATTTCAAAGCTTTAAAATATTATATACATTCATCAACGGTCGACAATAACGTGCGTAACGACAGCATCATTTGAGAAACACAAATAATTTGAATTGGTTTGTTCCCGCTCATTGCTTAACAAAATTGTTCAACACTAATTTCAAGAAGTTCAGTTCCAGTTCGTACATTAGGTAATTATATAATTTTCTCTGCAGCGATCACAAATAACATATTGCTCCGGTTCCGGAACCAAGTTCAAAAACTAGACGGTAAAAAAAACCGATGCTAGCTTGATGATGTGACTGGCCCAAAACTAAGTTAACTGATTTTCATTTTAATAGCGTGAACTCTTTCTTTTAAATCGCGTCTTAGTTCATAGTTTAACAGGAATCTGTTTGAATTTTTGAATTTAGCAGGTCACTGGTTACAGCTCAATCGATAACAACGGCAAATTCTAACTATAACAGAAGCGACTTTAATCAAATCGATTCCTAAATCTTAAAAGGCCCACATTTTATTGGAATAACAAGCGCTACTTATTTTTAACGCTCTTTTACTCAGCCAAGGACAGCAAAATATCGACTATCTTATCGGATCAACCGAACTGATCGACTGGCCGCCACTGAGACCCATGTAAAGCCAATTCCAGCCAAGCCGACACTAGAACCTATGTAATAGATTAAATAATTTGTTTCAAAACCTGCTTAAGTGAGAATTCCTTGATTTTTTTTAAAGGGTCACAATAGCAATATGGCAGTTTTGACCTACACTCGATTCGCTACTGTGCAATATGTACTCGTGACAAAGTAACAAGTGCGTAAGTATCGTCCATCTCTATATTCGAGCGAACTGTCTGAAGGCATAAAAACAATTTTTTTTTATTTTTATAGCGAAAGTGGTAGATTTTTGTCCTTTAAAATTCGTGGATACAACCATCGGTCAACTTGCATGTTCTGGAAGCTTCGGTCTTCCAGTACACCGCCTGGTCAATGCAGTAGTTACATTCGCTAGCGTAGCGTTTAAAGCACCACAAAAATAAAAAAAACTAACTCTAATCAAAATTCTCAATTAAAGTTGTAATATTAATCATTCGAAAGCGAACCATATAATGAGTTTGAGTTTCAACAATCCACAAAAATGCTCATACATAGAAAGTAAACACTGCACCGAATTGGACCTGGGTCAAAAGGTGAGCCAGCTGAATCAAACTCTGTTACATGACTTTTCAATTTTTCCCATACCCTGCACTCTTGTTGATATAGACGATAAACAGCCTGTCGATGCGTAACATGCGATACCAGGATAAAGGAAAACTCTTTAGCTGTTCGCTTAATTCGTTAGCCAGGCGCGATGACTTCGATGATGAAGCCACGGGCTCGGGCACTGGCCTCGTCGGCCTGCAGAACATTGCGAATACGTGTTACATGAATTCGGCTCTGCAGGCGCTCAGTAATTTATCTCCGGTGACGCATTACTTTATCAACTGCAGCGATCTTGTGGAGCATATTGCAAGCACGCCGCGCTCTAAGCCGGCTGGTCTGGCTAAAAGCTATCAACGCCTGATGCAGGAAATGTGGCTGGATGTCGACGATCCAAAGGGTAATTAGAATATGCAACTCATTTGAAATGCTTCTCAATTTAATATTCAATTATTGCAGATTTCCTGGCGCCGCGTGGTATTTTATATGGCATTCGGTCAGTACATCCAATGTTTCGCGGCTATCAGCAACATGACACACAAGAATTCTTGCGATGCTTTATGGATCAGCTGCACGAGGAGCTAACGGAGCCGCCACAGCCGCAGCTACCACAAGGACAACAGCAGCAGCAGGCAAGCGAAACCGATGATGAGAATTACGATGAGGTACCAAAGGCATGTCATACGCCCACGGCATCAGAAAGCGAGTACGATACCTGTGAGAGTAGCATCTCGGAGCGCTCCTCAGAAGTTCTAATGAAGACCGAGTACTACATAGCGCCGCATCGGAACAGCAGCAGCAATCCCATATCAGATACATCCACAACGCAACAGCAAAGCCCGAAGACAGTTCAAGAATCGAAGCCAGTGGAGGCGGCACATTCAATTATCAGCGATGTATTCGACGGCAAACTGCTATCATCTGTGCAGTGCCTTACTTGTGATCGGATCTCTACACGCGAGGAAACATTCCAGGATCTATCGTTGCCCATACCGACCCGTGATTTTCTGAATGTGCTGCACCAGACACACAGCCTGAGTGTACAGAGCCTTAATGCAGCCGACCTGGCATCGGCGCGCAGCAATGAGGGCTGGCTTGCCTGGATGTGGAATATGGTGCGCTCATGGATATTCGGTCCATCTGTAACGCTCTATGATTGCATGGCCAGTTTTTTCAGCGCAGATGAGCTCAAGGGCGACAATATGTACAGGTAAACGGGGCGAATTGATTATCATATAAAGCAAATATGTAATCTCTATTTATTTTCCGTTGCAGCTGCGAACGCTGCAACAAGTTGCGTACGGGCATCAAGTATTCGCGTGTGCTCAACTTGCCGGAAGTGTTGTGCATCCATCTGAAGCGTTTCAGGCACGATCTCTCCTACAGCTCAAAGATATCCTCGCATGTGTACTTTCCGCTTGAGGGCTTCGATATGCGGCCGTATCTGCATAAGGATTGCACATCGCTGGTGCCCACGTACAATCTATGCTCGGTCATTTGTCACCATGGCACTGTCGGAGGCGGTCACTATACGTGCTATGCGCGCAACGCTCTGAATGGACGCTGGTACGAGTTTGATGATCAGCTTGTGATGGAGGTTACGCCCGATGTAGTACAGAACTGCCAGGCGTATGTGCTATTCTACCAAAAACACAATCCCCAAATGAAAATGGTGCGCGAGGAGGCCATTAATTTGTCCACCTCGAATCCGTTATACGAAGGCGATATACAATTCTATGTGACACGCGAGTGGCTATCACGGCTGGCCACGTTCTCAGAGCCGGGTCCGATCAACAATCAGGATATGCTGTGCCCACACGGTGGTATTCTACATTCCAAAGCATCGTTAATTAGTCAAATTGCCGTGCCCATTCCGCAGCCCCTGTGGGACTTTCTCTACAACCGTTTTGGCGGCGGTCCGGCCGTTAATATTATGTTCGAGTGCGACATATGCAAGCGTGCCGCCGACGTGCTCTATCGCCGCCAGCAATACGAACTGGCCGTCTTTACCAAATACAATGTGCAGCAAAGTGAACTGGACGCGACTGCCATCTATGCGATTGCCATGCCCTGGCTGCGCGCGTGGCAGCAGTTTCTGCGCGGCATAACCCACAAGGAGCCCGGACCCATTAACAACGAGGGCATTGCCGACACCAATTTGCTGAACGGCTCGGCGATCAGCTGTGTGCGCGCTGGCTCCGACTATGCGCAGCTGAATGCGCCCCTCTGGCGATTTCTACGCGGCATTTATGGCGGTGGACCCGAAATAATGCTGAGAAGTGCGTTGTCCGATGATGAGGCCGATGAGATTGAAATAATCGATCAGGACGATGACGAGGATGAGGATGAAGATCTGGACATTTCCACTGACATCTACCAATACAATCAATCGGACACGGAAAGCAATTTGGGCAGAGCCCACAACGATAGTCCAACGCCATCATCATCGCCAGGGCCTGAAATGCGGCCAGCTGAGCAGGATCTGCCGCCCACAAAGCCCGATTCAGCATATACAGAAACGATGCCAAATGGCAACACAACCAGTACCAACAATATTAGCACAAGGCGTCGTCGTTCGAATGCCAGAAGCATTAAGGTCGCAGCTTTGCGCATGAATATGCGTAAGCGGGGCCGAAATCGCAATGCCCTCAAACAGCACTCCGAGATGTTTGGTGCGAGAGGTAAATATGGGCAGCAATCAAATTTATAAGCAATATTAAAGAATTATTTAACTGTTAAGGTCTCTATAATCCGCAAGCGGATGCTGCCTCTGGAGCATTGACTAAAACTGAGGCTGACCACGATATTCGAGACAGGGAACAAAGAGCGACAGCGACAGCGACGGCAACGCTGGAGACAGGAACTGCATTTCAAACAGAATACACAATACCATTCCAAAGTGATAATTTCCAGGTTAATGGGGCGCGGGATAAGAAGCGCGAGAGAAACAAGCTGCGCAATCATAACAACAAAGAGAATGTTAAGCTGCAGAAATTTGTGATGCTGCGCGAGGCAAATGGAGCCAATGAGGAGACTGATATATGATCGACAGCCAGTGCGAAACGGAAAACTGAAGCATTTTATGAGTGTCAATCGCTGCCGATGTTTAGGCCAAAAGCAAAGTTTAGGCATTAGAAATAGTTAAATACCTCACTGTTTAATGGGGTGGAGGCTATATATATATATATATATATATATATATTTATATATATATAAACTATGTAAAAATTGTATTTATAAATTGAAACGTATGGATTGCTAACAAATATTATACACATACAACGTTAGCCCTCGTCAGATACGAGTTGTTGTTGTAGATACCACCCCCAAATAAGATGAATGAAAGTTATCTAAAATGAAAAAAAGCGAGTGTAACGCTTTGTGTACATTTACACCCAATAACCCCGCCCAACCCACTCCCTTCCTTAACTACCTCCAGACACACAAATTGTACATAATGTTGCCTCCAATGGTGCAAACACATAAAATAAAAGAACTTAAGTAACAAACACAAAAGCCAAAACCAAAACTAATTAAACGATTCAAGAACTGTACGTTATTTGTGAATTTCCTGTTTAGGATCTGTTATGTTGGCATCCCATCAGCTGTTAGTTCGGGGCAATTGGGATGCCAACTAGAACTGAATTGTGCTCAGCACTGGTCCACCCCACGTTAATTGTGTGTGGTCTATTTATAGAGCCCCCCGTGCGGGCTCTCTACATGCTCTCTATATATGCCCATCTCACTTGTCCCACATCTCGGCGCTGCTCTGGTCTGAGGCAGTGAAACGGAAACGTGTGTGCATGCACATGCATTGTGTCGAAAATCTCTAATTGAAAATCTATAATTTGAGTGGCGGCATTTCCCAGAGAACAATTGCGAAAAAGAATGAATCCGTGTCAAGT